AGCGCTCCGGCCACACAGCCCCGGCCTGCATGTCCTCCACTGTCCACAGCATGGCCTGTGCCCTGGGCCCCTCGTTGTCCACCGTGCGAAAGTGAAAAGGGTGCCAGACCGTGGGCTGGGCTCCTCCTGCGCGCGTCAAGCTCAGCCCCTGACCATTCACTTTGTGGACTTCCTCACAGGGCTCATTCCACGCTTGTGATCCGCGGCTTCGGCAGACAGTGTCTTCTTTTCGCACAAGTACTGATTCTGTAGCTCTTGCAATACGCTCTGGCCACAAAGCAGCCGACATGGCAGACAGAGGCCTCTGCCAGCAGGAGAGGTTTCAGGAGAGGAAGGACAGCGACACTGTGTCCTTCTGGGCGTCGTGTCCCAGCACTGCAGCTCCCGAGGACGCGGGCCGTCTCAGGGCAAGGGCACAGTGACATGGGTAAAAGACCCCAGCCTTTCCCTTCCCTCCAAGCCTGGAGTGCAGCCTGAGGTTAGCACGGGCAGCACCCTGGCCTCTGCTGCACCTCGGGCCCTGCCACGGCCCCTTCGCCTCAGGAGCACAGCTCTCCCAGACGGCCCTGTCCCCACACGCAGACTTGAGGCTCTCTCCCTGGCCAAGGGGCCTGCAGGGCCTGTCACTAGCACAGCCGGGACGCGGGTCCTTCGGAGACACGCGGCTGCAGCTGCCTGTCCCAGCAGTCCCCACACTTTGTCCCCTGGAATCACTGACACGGGTGCATTTGGGGGAGACCAGGATGCCCATGTTTTCCACAGACACATGGGTACTGAGGGATTTCCAGAGTGCAGCCTGCAGCCAAGAACACACTGGGCAATGGTAGAGCCAGGACCTCAGGAGGGGCCTGGAGAGGCTGGAGAGCCGGTCTGCTCCACCCAGAGCCACCTGCTCCTGCCCGGCCTCCATGTGGCCGGCCCCAGGCACCCCACCACCACCACCAGCGTTCAGCCTCAATGGAGCAATCCTGGCCTGGGCAAATTTCACCCTGGACCACGGCGCACACGGACAGCTGGAACAGCACCTCTGTGGACTCCACTGCGGCTCTCCCTCCAGAGAAGGCCTCCCACTACAACCGAGCGAACCACTAATGCCAGCAAACAAGTTTGGAGCCGGGCCCTCCTGGCCAGGCTGCCCCCAGGCGCGGGCAGCCGCTGTCGCAGGGAACAAGCTCCCGCCTCCATTACCAAGGGCACCATCACTTACTGCGGGGATGCAAATGTGCGTGTAAAGGAAGGGGCTTGCCCAAGGTACATAATGAAATTAAATTAACAGAAGCATCAGCCAGGCAGTGACATGATAAAGGGAGGCCCTCCACGCCTGGGGCCGGGGGAGAGGCCCAGAGTGATGGAGAGCACAGCCACAGCCGAGGCCGCCAGGGCCCCGAGGACAGGCATTCGCCTCGAGCTTCCAGGAGAGCTCCCAGGAGAGGAGCAGGCACGCAGTGTCCTGCGATGGCTGCATGGGGCACTCAGCTGTTCCCAAGTGCAGGTCACATAAGAAAGCTGGGGGAGCAGGCAGCCTCCTGGGTCCGGGTGCAGACAGCACGGGCAGAGCAAGGCTGGCCCGGGAGACAGACCAGGGGCCATGCTCTGCGTCCGCCCCACCAGTCAGCTCTGTGGAGTCCATGCAGGGGCACAGGGGAGAGCTGTCCCCCACCTGCCCGCCCTCCTGACCCCACATGCTGTGGATGCCCTCACACGGACATGGGTGCTGAGTACACCTGGGAGCATGTGGACAGGTGGACATGGCCCTGTCATGTGGGGCACATGCAGGAAGAGGTCTCAGATGCCCCAAGCCCAGGAAACACCGGCCAGGGGCTGAGGGATGGCCTGCTCTGGAAGCGCCCTCATGAGACAGAAAGGGGTGAGGTGCTGTGGCCCTGAAGCTGGAGGACAGGTCCTTGCCCCTTCAGGGGTCAGGGGCTCGTGGGGGTGCAGGAGCCCAATCCCAGGACAAGGGCAAGCCTGCCACAGACGGTGGACGCTGTCCAGGTGTAAGGGGAGCTGGGGTGGCACCAAGGCCACTGAGTGGGGAGCTGGGCAGGGACGGCAGGAGATGTGGGTGTTGGGGCTACATCTAGAATGCCCCCAAGGTCTCCCTGCAGAGCGTGGGTGGATCATGGGGCGCTGTGCTCATCCGGGGACTTGTCACGGATGAACTTGGGCTGATAGGCTGTTACGGGGTGGGGCTGGTGGAGGTGGTCCCTGGGGTGTGACCTGGGAGGTGTCCTTGTCCCACCAGCTGCTCCCGCCCTCTCTGCTTCTGGGGAGTGAAGCACCCCAGAAGTGAGTGAGCACCTCTCCTCTTCCAGGCCCTTCTGCCATCCTGCTTCTGCTCTCAAGCCACCAGGCTCTGGAGTTAACCATGGGCCAGAATAGTCACCCAGTCTTTCATCCCAGAAACAGGAAAGTGGCTGGGATGGTGGTGGGCCATGAAGGATGTAATGGTGGATGGCAGTGTGACCCCCAACCCCTGCAGGGGCAGGACGTGGGGGGAGCAGGCACGAGTCACTTCCCGTCACACGCAGCTGGCCCTGCTGCCATCCCGGCCGCCCTATGGACACTGCCCAAGTCCCAGTCTCCACCCTAGGCCACTCCTGACCGTCAGGGGATATCTGAGCCCGTCTGATGCCGTGGGGTGTTGCCAGCCCATGTGGCCCAGTGGGCAGACCCGGGGGGCCCAGGGCAGCAGGTGATGCCCAGCATGGGCAGCAGGGAGGACTCGGGGCCCAGCTGCTCTTCACTGGTAATTCTCACAGCAGGATGCTGGATACGAGTGGTCTCAGGGACACCGCTTCCCCATGGCAAGAGTCATTTCGCTTCCTCCTGGTCCAAAGCCTGTGCCAGGCTGAATTCAAGACTGCGTCCAGCTGTGTAAGGAACCACACCTCCAGGACAGCTGTGGCCAAGACCAAGCTGAGCCTAGCTGCCGCCTCCAGGCAGCAGGACGGCCATGCTCTCGTGAGGCTCCTGCCTGGCCAAGGGACCTCCTCAGGGAGGGCGTTGCCAGGTGTGCTTACCATCTGCCCCCACTGCGGGCAACACTGCTACCTGCCAGCAAGGAGGTATGTGCCCCTTGCTGGGGCCAGGAGACACCAGTCAGGTGCAGATGCAGGCCCTAGGGATTCTGTCCAAGGACCCTGTGGGGGAAGGATCTCACTTGACTGGCTTCTGGGGGTCCCCTCCATATCTGTCCTCCTCCCCGGGACACACAGCTACCTGTCAGGTGTTAGCAGGCCCGGGGCTCTGGCCCAGCCTCAGCCACACGGGCCCTGCACTAGGACAAGGCGGCCACACTGAGCACCACTGCCCCCTGCTGGGAAGGAGGGTCATGAGGCCAGGGTGCAGGGTCCCCGCAGGCCTGGGGAAGGGGGCCTGCCTGGGGCAAGAGGCAGTCTCCCTGTCCCCCACTTTACACCAGAGCCCAACTTTCTGGACGTTCCGACAATGAGCCCTCGGTCCGGTACCCACCAAAAGCTGTTCATCTGCACACACTCTTGGGGTTCGAGTCTCCCGAGTCTGTCAGGACAAAGTTACTATCTGCTGCCAGGAAACACCTCAGGACCCAGGTAGGCAGGCACTGGCCATGCAGAGACCCAGGGCCAGGCGGCAGCTCCACGGGCACACAGGCTGCTCCAGGGAGCTGGCAGGGAGGTCTCTCCACTTGGCTCCCTCCGTGACCCCGCCTGAGTGCGACACCGAGAGCACTTGAGAGGGAGTGTGGGCCGTGGTGGGCACAGCCACGCCAGGGTCCAGCTCCGCACCACCTCTGGGCACCTCCAGCCATGCCAGGCCCGGCCCTGGGACCTCGGCGTCCCCTGGCACCCTTCTCCACCCTCCACTCACCCCCCGGCAGTTGTCACTGCAATGACTTGGGCTGCCACCCCAGCCTGGTTCCCGCACAGCACCTGGCTCGGGCGGCGCCTGAGTCCGGGCAGGGGCCAGGCGGGCCTGGCTGTGCAGCCAGCGCACTGGCTCTGGGCTGCAGCGCAGCGCTGTGGCCAAGCTGCCCACAGCCAGTGAAGGGCGAGGCCTGGTGTGCAGGACTGCAGGTGGCTGAAGCTTGGGACAGTTCTGAGGCTTGGCTGCCTCCCCAGGGACTGCTACAAGCCCTCCTGAGGTTCCCGTGCCCCAACACCCAGCAGGCTGTGCCTGCCCCTCCTGGGAGGAACTACCTGGCAGGATGGAAGACACCTTGTAGCCCCAGACCTGGGGAGCCCAAGGACAGCAGGGAAGAACCGTGCTGTAACCTAGGGACATGCCGCCTCCCCCTGCGGAGCCGCTGTTCCCAGCCCCCCACAGCCACCAGGCTAGCTGTGAGCAGAGGACATCCAGGGGACGGCACTGGGGGCTCCGGGAACACACGGCACTGCAGCGGCTGGGGCCACAGGAATGGGCCACGGGGGGGTGGCACTGGGCCGCTGCGCTCAGCTCAGCTGCATGGACAGAGGATGGGCCACGACCCCGCCCAGACTCCAGGCCCAACTGGGCGGCCCCAAGAAGCCAGGGCTCCTGTGACACCCGTGAGTGCCTTGCCACGCTCCGCTGGCCCAGCCGCCTGGGTGTCTCTACAAGGTGTGCTCAAAATCAGAACGAAGCCAGGCATGGTGGTGCAGGCCTGTAACCCCGGCACTCGGGAGGTGAGGCAGGAGGATCGCTGAGTTTGAGGCCAGCCTGAAGCTCACTGAGACCGCCTCAAAAACTAAAACCAAAACCAAACAAGACACCAGCAAGGACTGCTGCTGAACACCACACAAGGGAGCGGGAGGCTCGTAAGAATGGCAGTGCACCCTCACCTGCCTCACCCCCCAGCTCCACCTGCTGCGGCTCTGGCTCTTCCCAAGTCAAAGTGACCTGGAAAGGACAAGGCAGCCGTGACAGTCACTGCAGACAGAACAGGGGGCTCCAGAGCTGCGGAGAGTGCCACGGACACGGAAGAGTGAAGTCACAGGGCGGGTTCTGAGGGGGTTCCTGACAGGGTATCTCTTACAATAATACACTTTTTCACAAAAATTTAATGTTCTCAGTATTTCTTGATCACACCACAGCTGGCAAAAGGTCGTCACTTGATGACCCCCCACAGCCCCGGTGGGAGACCTGGTGGCCCGGCCGTCGGTGGGTTTACCTCTGGACAGCGGCTTCCTCCCAACCCTCCTCACCCCGTGCCTGCTCTGTGAGGTCCCCTCTCTTAAGCGGGCAGAGCCCAGCTCCGGTGAAGCTGGGGGAGCAGCCGCACCCTGCAGCAGACGAGGACACAGCTGGGCCGGCCTCCCTGCCAGGCTCTGTGAGCAGCGGCCAGGGGAGGGGGTCTGGGGACACTCGGTCCAATGAACACTTGAGCCAGGAAGGAAACGCCAGCGCCCACATGCTAGATGCAGGCCTTTATTCCGCTCCAGAGCCCGGCCGAGGCCCAGGCGCCCCACGCGCACTCCAGCATCGCCCGGCTAGTGATGGTGCTGCTTGAACTGCAGGCCGCAGTAGCCACAGGTACCCGTCTTTGTTTCTTTGTCCTGAAAAAATCCAAAAGGAAAGACCTCATATTTCCATTTCTCCCTGAAATCCAGTCAGACATCAGGCCCTGAAAAGATGGGGCTCCTGCCAGAACCCCCAGTTGCCTAAAAATCCCATCTGAACAGGGTTCTTGGACTGAACCACGAGCCTGGCGTCCACCTGAGGGCTGGGGCCGGGGCCTCGCAGTCACCCTGAGCACACTGCTGTCCCCACACAGCCACCTCAGGCACACGACTGCACCCCTGCCGGCTGAGCCTCAGGGGACAGCGGCAGTGCAGGCACCCAAGGACACCAGACACGCGGGATGCCAGCCCCCGCTCTGGGCCGCTCCAGCCTACACCTGCTATGCTGACCCTTCCGATGACAACGCCAAGACAGGGAAGAGCAATGGTCAGCGCCACGAAGACAAAGCCCAGGCCGGAGCCCCCGGGCCGGGAAGCCACCTCGCCCGGCAAGGCAGAGCCCTCCCCTGTCCAGCACAGGCCGCACGCGCACTGCAGCTCTCTCCGTTTTCCTCCCTTTCTCCTTTCTTCTCTGTGGCACTGGGCACGGAGCCAGGGCCTTCCACGACAGGCCACTGAGCCGGCAGAAGTCACCGCTCGTCTTCCGCCCTGGTCTCTGTCCTCTCCCCTGCGTCCTGTGTGCGATGCGAGACTACACGGTGAGGGCTACATGACTGTGCCCCTCTCAAGGTCACAGGCCCCTCTCAAGGTCACAGGTCTCCCCCACGGGCCTGCATTCAGTGCCAACGAGGCCACCAGGCTGCGTCCCAACCAGGATGACCAGTGTCCTCAGAAGAGACCAGGACACCCACCGGTCAGCCCGGTGAGGACACGGTTGGAGGCCTCCAGCTCCAGGGCCAAGGAGGAGGGCCCGGGACCCCAAGGCTGTGGCCTGACACAGGCCAGCAGGTTAGACAGGGACTAGCGAGGACAGGCCGGAGGAGGCTGCTGAGAAGGGGAAGGCAGAAGCAGAGCCGAGCACACCCAACCCTCGCCCCTGTGTCTGTGGTGGCTGCCCGGGCGCGCCACGGGCCACAGGAGCCGCGGAGGGCACAGGGGAGTAGGCAGTGATGGCGAGATCGGCTCCGTACCAGGTTTATGTACACCTTGGGGTGGCCCAGGGCACCGCCACCGCCATCGCAGGCAATCACCCGCTGGTCCACCTCGCTCACAGGCTGCTCTGCTATCAGATCGATGGCAAAGTTTTCATTCACCTAGAACAAGAAAAGGCAAACTTACACAGACAAGTGCAAAATCCCCAGCATTACACACAGGTTAGCTCCGGCAGGGGGCCCGCCCAATACACACCCATCAGCACATGACCTTATGATCACTACTGCCCTCCTCCCAGAATGCAGTCCTCCGAGTCAGGGGTCTGACACACCCTCCTCCATGCTCACAGGAGCCGGGCAGAAGACCTCACCCTGTCCCCTTCCTGGTGACTGTCAGGACTCCTCCTGGCCCATCTCTGCCCCCCCACACACGCGCGCGTGCACACACACGCACATCCACACCCAGCAGGCTCCACACAGGATGGGCCTGACTGCAAGGCGGAACTCAGGGACAGAGCCCAGCGTCTTCTCTGACCCACAGACGCTCCCCTGGGGCCACGCACTTTCAGTCTGCAGCACCCAGGCAGGCGTCTTCCTCTCAGGCCTCACGAGTGAGGGGACATCCTGTCCCCTGCCGGGACACGCACACCACCCCCATGTCCCTGCACCAACACCAAACCAGCCCACCTGAGAGCATGCCCAGCATACCAGGAACAGATGCCATCCTGAGGAAAGGACAGGAGGGAGCGAGGAGGCAGCCAGGCCTGACTCAAGCTTCAGGGGCCTCCCATGCCAGCCAGCGTGTGGGGCTCGGCCGGACCCCGAGTCCAACCACACCAACAGGGCCCGGCTGAGGCTCCTGAGCCCCGCCAGCCAGCTAAGGGACTGTGCAAGGGCTCGGGTGTGACCGTGTCACTGGTGCCACGTTGGCACTCTTAAAGGTGTCCACTGGCACAGCATTAGACCTGAGAAAAGGGCGATGTCGGCATCGGACATCTGCCCCGCGTGGCCTGGGGCCGGGGATGGACGCAGGGGGAGCCAGGCTGAGCACAGCCCGAGCCCACACCCCCACCCTGGAAGAGGAAACCGCAGACTCCTGTTCCACAGCTACTTCATCTGATGGGCAGGCAGCTTCTGCCAGGGGTGCCCTGACCCCAGCGCCTCAGTCAGAGCCACCACTCTGACGTCTGACAGCCAAGGTGGGTGCCGAGGCCCCGTCTGCATCTGTGGCAGGGAGAGAGTGCCGGGTGGAGCGGCTTCCTCCTGCAGGGTCCTAACCCTGGACACGCCCCGCCCCATGCGCCCTCCTGGGCATGCAGGCAGCCAGCCCTCTCCGACCCATGCTGACCTCGGCAGGCGAGGTCTGCCAGCCCAGCTCCGGGGAGCACCTCCCCGGCACACACACCATCCCTCACGTCCTCCTGACCAAGTGGACGGAGGCTCCAGGACCGCCACACGGAGGGACATGCGGTGGGTGGGGCACAGGCCAGAGTCGCTAGGAGCCTGGCTCAGGAGGGGCCTGGCCGTCTGCTCGGGGTCATGGACACTGCCCAGAAGCCCTACGGCTGCGGCAGGGGGCTGGGCTGAGTGGTTTCCCCTGAGCGGCTCGCCTCACGGCTTTCTCTCAGGTGGCAAGTGGGGAGCAGATGCAGCCACAGCACCCGGGGCTGCCGCCCAAGCGTAGGCTCCAAGGCACACACTAGTCGCACCCTTGAGGCCGCACATTTCCAGGGAGCCTGACAGTCACTTGCACCGCATGTGCTGCCCTCCCTGCAAGAGATGGGGGGCACCCACACACCTCATGCTGCCTCCAGCCCCCTTCAGTCCTCCTGAGAGCTACAGCTGCCCCACACCTACCGCGGGGCAGGACAGCGTGCAGCTCACCTGTGCACCCGGCCGGCACCCACACAAATGAAGCCCTGCCTGTGGAAAACGGCGTTCAGCAAAATGACAATGGGTCACAAAGGTCGCACTAACAATTCCCAGGCCCCATCAGTCGGAGGGACCAGCGTCTCCAGACAAAGGGCACAAGGCTGACTCTCCATGCTACACTCCAGTCGTTGCAGGCAGCTCCTCAGAGACCCAGACCTCCAACTCCTGCTGGATGAGCCCGCAGGAAGAGGGGAACAAGCAGCAGAACACCCAGCCACGAGATCCGCCCGAGCCACAGCACTCGGTGCCACGCCTCCCAGCGCCGCCCTACTTCTGCCTCGGGAAGGGGCAGAACAGCACTGTGGATGCAGGAGGAATCAACAGAGAAATCACCCTGAGTCCTGCACATCCTAAACATCCAACCTGTCCTGTAACTGTCGCTAGCGTGCAGGCACAAAACCACGGTTCCATTTACCTCTCGACAATCAACTGCTCTGGCATGAAGTCACTCAGGCTTGAATTCACTGTCCATGTAGCCCGCTTTTATTTCTTTACCTCATGTTGTGGGGAGTGACCCCTCCTGTAATAAGCCTACTCCTTCACACGAAACTGAGGTGAAGCCTAGTGAAGATAAAGTACGTGATTCTATGAAACAGTATCAAGACCAACGCAAAAAGAAAGTTACTGCGATCAATGTCAATGATCTGTGAAATACTGATTACACTAAAGGAAGTCTTCAAGTTTTAAATTGTTAAAAGCACCAGATCTCTTTAACATGAACAATGTTATGATTTGTGTCTGGATGTCCTCTCAAAGCCTCAAGCAGTCATGGGGCAGGATTCTGGAGTTTTTGATTGATCCATGGTCCAGCACTGGGATTATGAGTATGAGAGCTACACCTGGCCTGAGGCGGGTAGTTTGCATACCATGTAAGGGAGGAAGGGAGGCTTCTCTTCCTGCCTGCTATTCCCTTTTGCTCTTGTTGCTTTTGCTGTCTTCCACTGCCATGAACTGTTGCTCTCTGCCATGTGCCCCTCTGCCTTGGAGCCAGCCAAGTATGGATTAAAACCTCCACAAACTGTGAGCTAAATAAACCTTTCCTTCTTTCATTTTGGGCACTGGGTATTTTGTCTCAGCAACGACACAAAAGTAACCAAGACAAACACCAGTGACCACACTTGGCAGCCTGTATGTCCCACAGACGACAGACTGAGTGTGGTATTTACATACCAGGGAGCACTACTCCGCCATAAACAAGGGTAAACTTGAGTGGTTTGTAAGAAACCAGCTACACCTTGAGACCACGATGGTAAGTGAACAGATCACAAGCCCAAGCTTGAATATCACATACTTTCCCTTATACAGGAAACCCGAGCTACAAATAAAGAGCAAAATAGAAGGTAACAGGAAACAGAACTGCAGCTTTCTCAGATGGGAAGGGGGTCAAGAGACGGAGGTGGGGGCAGGGAACGGGGAAGAGAAAGACCTGCTCTGCCAGGCACCAACTCCACAGGAGGAGCATGACACTGCCGAGAGCACGTGCTAGTGAACAATCACACTTCACTTACAGACACACGTCTATGCTCACACACAAGTTTCAGATCACAGGAACAACTGAAGTTTTCGTCCAAACTCATTTGAAAGCTAAGCAACAGCAGAAAATGCTCGAGTGACCAAGCCATCTGCGGCATCTGGGGCTGCCAGTAGGCGGGGCTCGGCAGAGAGGCAGCATGGTAGGCAGGGAGGACCCACTCTCCAGGCCCTGCAGTCCTCCACACACAGACAGCGAGGGAAGACTTGCTCCCACTCCTGCTAAGGCGAGCCAAGGCCTGTGTCACGGCCCCTGGGTCACCAACCAGAAGGCAGGGCATGTGGGCGAGGGCCCCTCGGCCAGTCTTCCCCGCATGCCCACACCCAGCGGCCATCTCCAGCCAGAGCTCAGCACCCCACACGGCCCCTGCTTGCCACTCCTCGGTGTCCACCTTGCCCTGCTCTGGTCCTGGGTAGTGACTGCTCCCTCCGCAGCACACCAGGGTCACCCCTGTGGGCTTCTACAGCCACACCTGTGCATGCCTCAGAGCCCACATGACCTGCTGGTGAGCTAGCAAGAGCGGCCCACATGGGGTAAAGATGCCTGTCCTCTCCTCCAGCCTCCTCCTGTCTCAGTCTCCCTAGGAGTTGGGGCTGCAGGTGCAACCCACTGCAACTACCTCCCCAATTTTTAAACTGTGGCGAAATACACACAAAAAGTTAGCATGTAATACTTCTAAGTGCACGAACCAATGACATTTAGTACAGTCACCGTGTTGTGCAAACATCACCACCATTTACCTCCAGAATTTCCGAACTGTACCCTACTCCAGACAGATGTCCCCCACCCAGCTCCGCACTCTCCGCTCCACTGTCTGTGAGCACGCAGCCTCTGGGACAGCACTCAGGGAGGTCACAGCACCCACTGTACACCCCTGAGCACAGTGTCCCCCGCGCGGCCTCAGAATTCCCTTCCCTGCTGCGGCTCAGCAGCGTCGTATTGTGGGAGCACCTCACTCTGCTCATCTGCACCCCTAAAACTGGTGGTAGCTTCACCTCCACGTTGCTACCAAAGAACAGAAAGGCAGTGAGGTCCCAGGGTCACACAGGTTCACCAGGCCGGCCCCTGTGAGTGGTCACAGACGACAGACTCCAGCCTGCTCATCTTCAAGAGCTCAAGATGAAGCCTGCCCTTAGGGCCAGTGGGCACGGCACCCCAGCACTGGCCCGCTCCACGCACCAGCACCCAAGCACTGCGCGCAGTTCAGCACAGAGGCTCTGCCGGGCTTAGAAAGCAGTGTGGAAGCTGGGACCCACCACACAAGCCAGGGCACCCAACTGGGGAGCAAACACCCCCAAGGACAGTGGCAGCCCCCCACCAGAGTTGTGGGCACACTTCCAATCCCACTGCATCAGCACTGAAGGGCAGAAGCGCCTGTTGCCGGCAGCAGAGGAATGGGGCAGGGTGTCACTTCCAAGCAGGGCAGCCGACACTCGGGGTGGCCCAGGCCCACCCTGGCCGACTTCTGGTTCCACCCTTGTTGGGGGGCATCCTCCAGCACAGCAGCAGTCCCCTCCCAGGACCACCACTGTGTCCAGTCAGGACTGGCAGGGACTGTGCAGGGAAGCTGCCTGGGCTCCTGCAGTGCCACCTCGACACCGGGGTCCTGTTCCCCGCTGGGGCCCTCGGGTGAGGTTCCCGTTCCGCTGAACAGATTCAAGGTGGCCGGGGGTGGCGCAGGGAGGATGAACAGGCAGAGCTCTGGTGTGCAGCAGCGAGTGCCTCTGGGTGCCAAGGCAACAGAGGGTACCAGACGGGCTGCATCTGCCCAGGGTGCACGAATCCTTCGCGGTCTGCAGGGATGAGGTTCCCGCCACGCCCACAGTACGCTTTCATCGAGGAGGTTCTGTGGGAATGCTGCACTTTCTTCACAGCTTTTCTGCAAACCTAAAAATGCCTTAAAAATAATCTCTTAGGGGCTGGGGGTAAGCCTAGCGGTAAAGCATTTGCCTGGCATGAGCAAGGCCCTGGGTTGGGTCCCCCGCACAATCCCCCACAAAAACAATTTTTAAGCAATTTTTAAATTAAAAATACAATTAAAGAGTACCTTCTTTTGAAAGAAGTAAAGCCTGAGCAGGACGCCACCTCCCAGGCAAGATGCTGCATACCTGGAGGGCATAAGGTGCGCCCTCCTTCACCAGACTGCAGCAGACAGGGGTGCCGGGACACTGGCGGGGCCAGCTGCATCCACCAGGGCCAGGTGGGCTCTGTCCTGTGGTTCATCCACTCACCTTGCTGTTCCCATAGCTGCCTTTGCCTGCTCATCTGTAAGGGCTCTGAATTACCCTTTGCTTTGCCCACCGGGAACTACACACAGAATTTACAGCACAGGCATTTGTGACAGGCACTGTGCACCCTTGCTGAGCCACTACCAGTGCTGAGAAACAAAGCCAGGGTCAGGGCAGGCTACAGGGCCCACCTGCTTCCCGACTACTCAGCCCACGGCCTGCCTGCACAGCACAACATCCACCAAGCGAGGAGCACTAGCCTCAGAACAACCACCTGTCAGTGCCAAGACACCCGGCACCTATACTGAGACAACACCTTCCTCCATGACGCCCCTGCCAGAGGCAAAACACAAGCCTGCTCCCCTCTCCACACCACAGCACCAACTTCCAAACGTCACGTTCCCACACCTAGCTGGAAAGCCTCACTGTCCTGCCTGCGTGAAGAAGAGACGCCCCATTCCCGATGCCATGGCTCCATGGTGCAAAATACAGCACTCGGGACCAGGGAAGCAGCGTGCGAGCAGGAGTGAAACCAGGGACACATTAATGGCTGAGAAGTGAAATAAGAAGGCTTCTGAGGACAGGGAGGAGGTCCAGTCACACTCGGAGCATGCAAGGCGCTCTGCATTATCCCTCAGGATGCCTATAATGACAAATATTACAAGAATTTTTCACATACGAGGAGATTTCAGAGGCACCGACCTGCACTGCGGGTCGCTGTGAAGCCTGGAGGCCTGCAAATACACACAGCTACCGCCCACGTGAGGCGGACTCACCACCCACACCTCCCCAGCACACCTGACAGACATCAGGCACTTCGTACCACTCTTCCTCAGAACCCAGAGCGGCCCCATGCTCCTTCCCAAGCCAGCACTCGAGAAGCAGAGCAAACAGCCCATAGGAAAATACAAACTTCTCTGCCCCTACCCATCAGTCACACAGCAGTCAACTGGCTGAAAGCTGAGAACATGAATTGTATTGGTCAGTGGCCAACATGGGAGCTTCTCCAGAATGCCCTGCAGCTCTGGGATAGAGGCATCATGGGAATACCAGGCAGTGGGAAGAAACAATGCAGCCACGATCAGAGGGAAAGGAGAAGCACCGATTTGGAGACCCCTGAGACAGGAAGAGTGATTTAAGGTGAACAAGAAAGATGAAAACCGCTCAGGGAAGCTTGAGCCGGAACCAACAGCAGGGAGAATCAGGCTGGGGATGTGGGTTGGAGGGAGTCAGACAGCAAACAGGCTTATCTCAGCAGAAGAGTCCACACTCAGTGTCCCTTCTCCAGCAGCACTGGAGACTGGGTGTGGAAACTGGCCCATCTTCCCGTGCAACATGTGGAGGAATCAGACCCACTCAGAGAGGTCAATTCAGCTTGCAGTGTCCCTGTGAGAACACAGCCTAACTTACCCAGTGAAAACTGGGGAAAGCACACCCCAAGGGTTGATTAAAAGAATACTCTGAGACACAGAAATGAAAAAAAGATCATTCTCATGTATAAATGGTTCTAGGATGCTATGGCTATAGACACTAAGTTAAATACTTTGGAGAGAAAAAATAAACACTATTAATATTCAGAATTCAAGCTCCTCTAGGGTGCTTGCGATATGGGGAGGATTTAAGTCTTATATATTAATTTTTATTTCTCGTTGGTGACAGAGGTTGAACACCCTGTCCCAAAGCTTGGGACTAGAAGTGTTTCAGATTTTGAAATATTTGTATATACATAACAAGATATCTCGGGGATGAAATGGGTCTAAACACAAAATTCATTAGTGTTTCTTTACATCTTACACACAGCCTCAAAATAACTACATAAAATATTTTAGTATGTTCTGACTGAGACCCATCTCATGAGGCCAAGTGTGGAATTCACCACTTGTAGCACCATATGCATGTGCAGGAAGTTTTGGATTTTGGAGATTTTAGGTATTTGGATTGGGGATGCTCAACCTGTGTAAGTTTTATGAATGTTTACCACTCTTTCACTGGCTCTTTTACTCACCTCTTTCTGACGACCTACAAACCGAATTTTCCTGTAGTCTTTATCGTCATAAGCCTGAAAGAAAAAAGACCATCTGTGACTTTGCCTAATTCTGAAAGTTGTCACTTAGCATCAAGCTAAGTATTACAGAAAAGTGTTTTTCTTGGCATTTTAGGCCATTGACAATGAGCCAGTAAAAAAGAAGACAAAATCTACTTGTGCATGCAATCGCATCTGTCAGCGAGACTCCCCGTAAGGTTGATACGAAAGGCGGGCAGCAAGCCTGAGTGACCCAGGAAGGTCGAGCCCAGGGCAGGTCCTGACAGAGGAAGAACGCCCAACCTCCTTTCACATAAGCCCTCACAGCTTTATTTCCCCCCTTAAAGGTACTGGGGGACATTCTAGTCCACTCTTTTCCATCTGTCCGCTCACCATGATAGCTGGGAGCTGCTGGGAGCTCAGGAGACCCTCAAGTCATTAGACTTTAGGATTTAATACGGCACAATCATCGAAGACTCTGACCCAAAAGTCTGGGGGCTAGACTCCGCGCGGACGGCTCTCTGCAGCGGCCCCCGCAGCCCGCGGGGAATCACTGGACGGTCAGCCGTCGCCCGCACTTGCGCGTGTGGGACCCCGAGCGGGAGTACGCGAGGGACAGCTGCGCAGGCCCAACTCGCAGCCCCGCCGGTGCTATCCCGGCGCCCACTCTCCGAGAGCCCTGGCCACTGTCCAGTCCCGGGCCTGAGCCACGGGCGTCGGGTACCGCAGTTACCTGGCCGGTATGCGTGATCTTCTCCCCAGTGGGCGATATCCGCACCCCGAAGGTCCGCACCGCCTGGGGCAAAACTAGCAGCCGGCGGAAGGTCACTAGCGCCGCCATCTTGCCGGTGACCCCTGACCTGGCGGGCGTCACTCTGAGCGCCGACGCACGCGCATGGCGTCAGGCGGGGACCTGCTCCCGAGACTTATTTCGCCCTGAGGAGGAGCGAAGGTTGAGCATGCGCTCTGCGGTCTCCCCGGCAGGTGCAGCCTCTGGTTGGGACTCCACCTAAGAGCCAATAAGAGTGCGCAGCCTTCAGCACTTAGTAGCTCCCTGGCCCTTCCTGTTTGGGGGACAAGGCAAGGGAAGTTGAAAAGTGAAGATGCGTTATATTCTCATGGCAGTGGATAATCCTGAGAAGTTTAAATATCAAATGTTTTTACTGGGTGAAGAAATCGATTTTTAGAAGAAACCAGAAACGTGTTCCTGTAGCAGATATTCAGCATTCGGGATTTCTGCAACAGAGCCCCAATAAAGCGACCAGTCAACTACAGTTTATTTTCACCCAGCCAGCAAACACACCTGGAGAAAGGCTCGCTTTACTTGGAGCCGACCAGGGTACACGTTCCAGCCGCAAACCCGGCCGCCTCTCCCCGGCCTCGGCCCTGCGCTGTGATGGCGGTGTGGGAACGGTTCACAGAGCCTTGCGGGGCGACAGTCACACGGGGCCCGCCACGGAGGGAAGAGGCGGCCCGCGCGGCCCCCGGGCTCTGCAGGGCGGGCGCGGCGCTGGCGCCCAGGCTCAGACACGTGCGTGGAGGACGCCCGGAGGGGATGGGCCCGCTGGCGTCCTCTTCTCTCCGCAGCCCGAGCCTGGGAACCAGGCGACCCCGGGAACAAAGGCTCAGCGACGGCCGGCAGGCCTGGGAGGTGGCGGAGCACACACTTGAAAGCCTCCCGGAAGGGAAAGGCGTCTCAGGGCTGCGGCGGTGGGAGACATAGCTCCAGGGCTCTGCGCCCGCCGACCTCTTACTAAATGGTGGCGTGGGCGCGGTGCAGCCCCGCAACGCAGAGCCTGGGCGGCGGCCTAGCGGCGTCCACTGCCCGGCTCGTTCCCTTTCTCTGCACGTCTGGAGCTCTTCTTCTCGTGGGAGAAAGGCAGTGGAGCTGTGACCAGAGAGGGCCGCTGGCGGGTATTTCCAGGAGCCCTCGAGTCTGCCAGGGTGGCACGTGGAAAAGTGGACTTTGCACTTTTTGTTTAGACGTCGGTGTTTGTCAGTTTTTGTTATGTCTAATTGGCTGCAATTTCTTTCTCATTCTGGATACGCTTTTTTTTTGGATATGCATTTTCGATCCTATTTGCGCATTCTTTCCTTGGTAGGGCAGGAACCCAAGCTGGGCGTGTTGGGGGCGTGGTACTCCAAGCGCGCATGCGCCTCGGTCTCTGCGCCCTCCTCGCCCCGCCATTCTTCTTCCTGGCAGCGGCGTCCTCGTCGCCCACTGCGCAGACGCAGGCGCCCTTGTTCGCGAAGGCGCAGGCGCCGACAGCATGGCGTGGTCGGGCGTCCTCTTTTCAGGTCGGAGTTCGCGTGTCCGGAGGACCGCGGTGGTGGGGGCCGGCTGGGCGGGCGGGGCCCCGGAGCGGGTGGGGGTCCCAGGCTCGGCGACCTGAGCGCGGCCCTCGGGAGCTGGGCCGGGCAGG